AAAAATTATGTTTCTCGGTAAAAAAAAGTTCCCAAAATAAGACTACGTTTTTGAAATATATTTTTATAATCACGCATTATACATATCTATTCAAAAATGTTTTGAATATTTTGCGAAAGTTTTTGAAATCCGTTATTAATATATTCTATTTATCCAATGAGTTTTTACATGATAATTTATTGCATATTTAATGCTAAGATTTGTACGTAAATTAAATGAGTAAATTTATTTACGTTAACATAAGCGTACGTGTGCATGTGAAATTGATGTGACGGAAGTCTTTACGTTTAACGTTTCGAGATCACGTAGCGTTCAGTGCTCTGTCAGGTCTAGTTGGGATTCAGGTCAAACGTCATCGTGTTGCAGAGAAGGGGTTGGAAAAAATCCAGAAACGGGCGAGTGTTGGCCTAGCCCGTTATCCAATCGAGCGGAAAACTCATCAGTCACTTCTCACACAACACCTCCGCAATGTCAGTGACCGTCTAAAAAGCGTCCCTCCCCGCCTAATCTCCACTTCCTTTCCTATCGTCTCTAGTCCTCCTCTCTCTCTCTCTCTACGTCTTTTTTCCTTTTATTCCTCACGTTTATATCGGCGTCACGTTCGCACTATCATGCTACGATGATAGATATCCGGAATTACATTCGCGTTGTTTTACGGAGGATCGCTGATATTTTGTGCAACGGCAAAAAAAAAGATAAAAAAAATCAAAGAGATATATTTCTTATACATTAGGTTTAACGTTCACTTAAGATATATAATCTAGATTAAGAATGACGTTGCCTGGAACATGTAACTCCTAAAAGACACCTTGCAGTTATGTTGAACGTTTTGTTCGTATTTTATGACTGTCGGCAGGACCGCTGCATCTTTTCTGTACAAAGGGACGGTATGAAGACATTCGCGCCACGTAACGGCTCCGGTCTACCGAAAAGCGTGGCCCTTGAAAATAATTTGAATAATTACCGGCAAGTTTTTCATCGAGGATGCTAAACAGCTGTAATCCGCTGTCTTTCTCGGTCCTTCGCGGAACAAAAGATAATACGAAGTGCCCTTAATTTACTTAAAAGACCTTCGGAAAGCTGGGTTTTTTGTCGCCCTCGTTGATAGCGCTTATCTTAAGTTTCCTTCGTTTTCATAATTGCTAGTAAACACGAAGTAAATTTGATTTTACATTGCTCACAAATTTCCACGCTTCTGTATATATATTAATTTCATAAACAGATGAACGCGAACGAGTTTTCTTTTATAACTCGCGTGCGTAATTACGCCATAATAAATACAAAAGCAAGTGTTCGCAGTTTGATAAAAGCACATTCGAATAATTCATTGTATTCCCGACATCTCTTGTCATATTGGAACAATTCTTAGCGGGACGTTCCAAGGTTCAGATATTAACAGACGCAACGCTTGGAATCCCGTGGAGCACGTACGGTTTCTATTAAAGACAAGATACCCCCTTTTCGCAAAACACGCGAGTGCCAGCGGGGATGACTCGAGGCAAGCCCCCGGTAATAATTCCTCCGCCGAATTAGCGCCATAAGTTTGGCGCCGCGACAGCCACGGAGACAATATTAATCTACTTTGAATTTATGCACTCCGCGGTTTTCCACCGACCTAGCTTGTATTAAGTCCTCGCGCAGCTTTTTCCCGTTTTTTCTCCACCAAAACCTCCTATGACATAAAAGTTTTTGTCGAAATCGAATGAATTGAGATATTAGTCGTAGGAAAGTTTTTTTTTATTCCCCCTGTTGCTCGATCGCAAATATACGTCTGGATTTTGCAAATGAACGTATTGATTGTTATACGTAATATTTTAATATAGTTTTTGTCCATAGTTTTCATTTTTTTGTCTTGTAGATTTTTAGAAATGTGTAACACCTTTCCCCATATATTCTCCGTATTCTCTTTTTCGGGAAAAAATGCGATTTGGAAAGAATTAATCTTTCGGTCAAAAATTGAAGAAAGCTAGATGCACTGAGAGAATTGCCGTTATGTCGGTTTATTAACTCTGCGGCTCGTACTATTAAGACGTGGTTGAGCAGGCGGAGAAGGAGTAAGTAAGATTCACCCTCACCGTGCAGACAGATAAATAACTCAGGACAGCCTGGGAATAACTTAAGACTTCTACTCTAATGATATCTGAGTAAATCGAAAAGATATTCATTCGCGTAGCGAGAATGTTTGACATTCTTTGTGCGGGTCTATGTATTTAATTATATGCATTTCCACAAAATTATGTATGATAATTTAAAAAAGAAAAAATATTTTGATATTTTTTTTAAAACAAATCAAATCAAATGTCAATTTAAAACATAAATCTCGTGAATTAGCTATAAAATTAATTATCAGATTATTCATCAATGAATAACGCATCTGTTAATCTGACTGTGAATCATTTAATACGATTATAAGCTATTCTTACGCTTTTTTTTTTAATTATCAAGATACGTGTGCTTACTGATAATGTCTGCGTCTATACTGTACTGTGGATCTTTTCTTTTCGATCTCGAGCATCTCGGCAAAAAGTCGCGCGCATTCGCTCTCTAAAGCGACCCTAGAAACACGTACAGCATGCGATAGCCCGGTATCTCGATCTTCGCGAAGGAAAAAGCGTGCATTGCGGCCGTACCTTAAAACCGTGCATTAACCTGGAAATAAACGGGGTGCCGTTCGACGTAGCACATACATTATGCGCCGAACTGCGCCGCGTTCCAGCACTTAGCCGCATCTTCGCGAGAGAAGACCGTCAGCTCCGCGTCCGGGGTATTTCTCTCTCGGTGAGTCCCGGCCGGAAAAAAAAAGTTTTATGTTAAAGCCGAAGACCGCGGGACCGGTGCTCGCTCTGCCGGGGATTAAGACATTCTCGGGCTAATAATTTTCATGCCCGGCCATGAAATGTTTTGTCCGCGTCCGCCCTGCCTTTCTTACGTGCAATTCGCGCCCGGCAAAAAGCCGCGGGCGCGCGATCCGTGTCGCGGCGGGCCGCGAAAATCGGCGCCGGGACCGGGCGACGATTAGACGGCCCCGTCTTCGCTGGTCGACGTGCGATTGCGACGATTTTCGGACGGATCCGCGGGATTTTCTGCGGACAATAGGTGTCAGTCGGGGAGAGCGTAGTGCCCGGAGGTGCACGGTTCGAGCCCCGAGTCTACAATTATGAGCCATACCACGTCGGGGCGAGCCTCATAACGAACTCACTATATTGCCGAGCATTTCAAAACTGGCCTTATACCAGTGTAGAGAGGAACGCTCTTTACCTGGTTTCTCCCTTCCTTCGTCCTGCTCTTTACGCGCTCCCCGTGGCCAGCGAGGGAGACGAGGGGGGGGGAGGGGAAGGGATGGGACGTGGCCAGGGATAGAAGGCCCCGAGAATAACGTTTGACGATGAAAGAAAGGAACTTCGGGGAATCCGTACCGCAGAGACTATGCACTCCCGCCTGCCAGCGGCCTCGATTGGAAGCGTCGACGATGATGCTGAAGTATAGATGACGTAGCTTTATACCTAACGCTATACGCGATCGCTTTAACTGAAAATTATTGACGAGGAATTGTTCGATACGCAGTATTAATCGAGAAAGTCTATTTTTCGAATTGATTTTAAGAAATTTTAAATTTCTTTATTGGTACTAATATTTCCCATATAATTTAATATATTTTAATAATATAATTTTTATTATTGTTAGATTTATTTATGTACGTATTTATTTTTTATATCTGCTAGTTTCATTTCGCGCAAAGCTTGATTCGTTTACTAGCTCCGATTTATTTTTCACTTCACTTTCAAGTATTTTTCAAGTATCGATAGACTAGGCGCGCGGAAAAGTAGTTTTTATTGAGATACACTCTACAAACTTCACACCGCGATTGTACTTATCCCTAATCGGCCCTGCTTTATTTTCATAACCGCGTTGTATATTCACGTTGCCTTTGACTATCCGCTCCGGGCGCCGCGATGATCTCTCGTCGTGGCGAATCTCTGGGATCATATATTTGAAAATAAATCACATTGCACAGAGGATGCTGCGGCCGGCAGGAAACATCGACCAGATGTGAGTCGTCGTACCGACGTCGCGCGAGACCACGTGTGTCCAAGCCATCGGAGAGAGAGATGACACCCGCTATATTTAGTTCTATGGGAAAAAGGGGTTTCAGAGGCGTAATCACACCTACGCGTGTGCTGCTCTACACTCTAATTCCCATACCGATTTTTTAAACAATTAGAAATTTTTTCTGTCTTGATGTGACACGCAATGTATTGCTTTTTTTTTGGCAGTCCTAATGGTTTTTATAGTAGAGGTTCCAAATTAACGAGCGATACCAGATTTAAACTAATTAATTTAAATGACATGAAAAGTGAGGTTACTCTCAATATCGATGTTTCACGTAACGAATTTATGAAAATTTATTTGTTAATTTACTTTTTAACGTGCTTAAAAATTGAATAAGCGTGTAAAACTGTTTATTTTACTTTCACGTCTTTTTATGTGCTTGTTATATGCATAGTGCGCAATAATGTTAACATTATTTCACGTTATAATGCCGTAATATGAACCTTATGTATCGTAATAGTTTACACGTTTACACTAAATGTAGCCGTGTAATTATGTAGAGAGCCGCGTAGATTGGTGGATCACATGTGTGCTTCGAAAAGACGCGTGGGAAGACGCTGTTATAGCCGTTGGCAGCTGTTCACACGTGTATCGGATGCTCAAATTTAATACGAATCATCTCTCTCTGTGTCTTCAAAGTTTAAAGCTCCAAATAAAATAATATAGAAAATTTTTGTCTTGTATTATATTAGCTGGATTAAAAGAGTCTCGAATTATTATTCATCACGAGTCATAAGTGCGTGTATCATGTACAAACATTTATTATAGGTTTAAGAATGTATATCGTTTAGCATTTTAAAGCTGATTAGCAACGAATAATTTGTAATAAAAGTAAGTTTGTATTCTTGCGAGTGTTGTTAGTAATCTATCGCGAATATCTATGATTTCAGACTGATGCACCGTTAGAAAATGAGACCGACGTCGAGTCCGTTGCCCACAATTTCGATTCTTCATCGCCAGAGAAGGGCTTCAAGGGTGAGTGAGAACAAATTTGAAATCTGCTTTTTCTCTTTCTCTTCCTCTTGCTGGATGTTCTAGAAATGTAGAGTGTACAATGCATGTGTATATTAAATGTGTACATACGGTATATCGTAAGATATTAATTAAGTTTCAAGATGATTACTCGTTGCTTTCGCTTCGAAACTCGATGTGCGCGCAATTATGCGACTCGGAATGAACGCGAGCTGATAGTTACGATACGCAGACACGTATCATTTATAATACTATAATTTCGCGAAAGAGCGGAGATTTCTCTCGCGTAGCTCGGAGATCGAAAGCGACGAGGATATCCGGCGGGAGGCTGGAATTAAGGCATTCGTCGGTGGATACACATACACCGTATATACGAACGAAGCCAATCCACTTAAGGCGCCGCATCCCTCCGTCGTCACCCTCCCCCCCCCTCCCCTCTCTTACTCGCGCCAGGGGTGGTCGGCAAGGTTTTGTTCTCGAACAAAAATCTGACAAATATGCCGCGATTTGCCGAAGAATGGAGGCGAAGTGCACCACCCTCGTCCCGTTTCCCCTCCCCTCCCCCTGCCGCAGTAACTTCCAGGGTCCAAGCATTCTAACCCACCCTTCACCCTTTCTCCCTTTCTTATTCTCTCCCCGTTCTCTCTTAGATTTCCGTCTTCTCTTCCCGATCCCTCGTCTCCTCCTCTCGAGAGACGGAGGAGAAAGAGGAGGAGGGCAAACGGTGACTCTTAAATTACTTAGACCGAACAAAATGTAACAAATGACTGCGAATCGAGCCACTTATGCGATATTGGCCCATCACCACCATCTACGTATATTGATACGTCGCATTAGGGCTAGTCGACACCCTACGCCGACTGACTATCTCTCCGTTTCCTGCGTTCCGTTTCCGAGGAGAAAGAGCTTTCGTTAGGGGCCTCAGTCGCCTGTGCAAACAAGCCATCCATGGATCCGACTTCTTTCCGTAAAAAAAAAAACTTAATTTCAACTAATTCACTCTCCGCGATTCCGCTCGACCTCATGATTTTCCGATCCGTGCGCGAACAAGACGGACGATGCAGTCGATCTTTAAAAAATAATGGAGGTGTAAAGCAGCCGCCGTTCCGGAGAGTTTCTCACGAAGGATCTGCGGTTTCGGGCCCTCGCCGAATATCGGCTTCTCTTTTCCTGCCCGCGCGCGCGCTCCTCGCCGAGTCCTTTCGTTATTAATGGTTTTCGCGAACTAGGTTCATTAAGGAGCTCACGAAACTCCACGGCGCATTCATGAGAGCGCCACCCCTTCCAGTTCTTACGGGATGAGGGGTGGATGTCGGGTATACGCGCAAAGTGTCGAACGGGATGCTCGTGTAAATTAGTAGCATATATTATCTTCACGCCCTTTTTCTTAGTTTGTTTTTTCAAGTATTCTTACCGCTCCTTGAGGTCAATATAACATCAAACGTTACGATACGTATTCTTGCTTTGAAAAACGTATTTGAAATCTTTCATATCTCGAAAATGGAAAAACGATTGTATGAATATGTTACATACGAAACGTTGAATATTTAATATTACCGATATTTTATATATCGTCTATTTCCTTAATATTAACATTTAAAGATTAACATTCTCTAAATGATGTTAAATATTTTCACGTTACGACAATGCTTGAATTATTATGAGACTTAGATTTAACAATAAAAGTGTCTTTATTAAATAATAAAGCTTTCTTTCGCGACGAGCGAAAACTGTTAGTATTCCACGCGATGTAGGAGATACGCAGAATCGCCGGCATGTAAACGGATATTGAGGGAAAAACGGCGCGATAGTTTGATGAATGAAGTCGTAATGAAGACATTAACGTGTCCGTTGCTCGCGCTAGCGAAGGCAGAAGAAAAGGACGATGCACCTGTCACCAGTGCGCTCAATTACGCGCATTCGACCTCGAGGCACGGATTATATGCGCCGAATTATGTAAAAAAAAAAGAAGGCATCGCCTTCCCCGACTTTTTCTCCGGCTCTCTCATCATCTCCCCGCTACCTCCGGCACAGACTGAAATTATGCTAGAATACGGGGTAATGCAATAATAAGTATAAGTTAGCCAGAAAGCGGGGTCCTGTGAGAACGAAGTGAGAAAAAGAAAGAAGAGATGTAGAAAGAGAGAGAGAAAAATAGAACATCTTCAGTAGCTACTGACTTATATCATTCACAACGAGTCTTGAACATGCGCATCGTGTCATTTTTGAAAAGAAAGAACAATAATATTTTTACCAATACAAGTTGGATATACGTTTGCGATCACATTGCAATATGTTTTTCAAAGATCCGTGCTCGTAATGTTGAACGATACGGACATTCGCACACGCTCCACCGTACTGATTCTCGGTTTTATTGGTACGTATGTGAATGCGTCGCGATAGCTGACGGAGGAGCTCAGAATTTGTCCGTGGAAATTCATCTCGCCCGTGGACCCGTCACGGCGTAAACGCGTCGACCGCTCGTACGTAGAGCGACTTGGAGGCCATCGCCGCTCTTTTTTGCTATTAGCTAAGTATACCGCCTCTGGCTTATGTTAAGCCTCGGTAATTATTTGTCACAGTCAGCTACGACGAGAGACAGACAGAAGAAGACGTGACGAGGCAAGGGCGAGGGGGAGACTTTCTCTCTCCGGCTCTTCGGCGCGATAGGAAAGAGTCTCATTGATCGCAGTACAATTAATTCTCTCTTTCTACATCTTTACGGTTTTTTTTCTCTTCTCTGTTTTCAAATATTTCTTTTTACGTATCAAGAGACGTCAGTGATTAATTAAGCTCCTTTAATTGCCCGAAATATTTTATGAATGAATTTGCTATGCGCTTGTGAAATTATAGTAAATTTTTAAATTTGAATTACGTATTTTTTAAAAGTGTATAAATATGTTATAAAAACGTAAGTATTTTTATATAATTCATATAGCTCGCCCTTCGAAACAAACAAATTTGAGTATATTATTATGCAATGTAATTTGCTGTTGATCGTCGATTTAATTTTTGTATTACTTAAACATATTTTAGCATAACCTTCGTGACATTCCTCGATTTCATGCAGCTTTAATCTCTTCTCCTCGTTACATTCTCATCCTGTTGGCATCCTGCAGCACATTTGCCCCCTCCGCCCCGTCATTTTCGGCGCCGTTCTCATCCTTAATGTGATTTTAAGCAGCGCCACTAGCAACACCATCGACCAGAGGATTTCCGTGACTACTTGCAAATTATTTCTTTCGCTTCCGTCCGTCCTTCTATCGTCGTGTGCTTTACTTCTACGAAAAAACGTGACTAAGGCAATTGTAAGATAGTTATTAAATGACAGTTATTAATTCCACCTTTCAGAGATGCTTTACGTCAACGTTTTCCACGGATTTTTTAATACGAATGTTATTCTTTTATTACGCTTGCAATATACTTTGTGTCTTTGGATTTTACTTATTTCTTCAAGAGGAATGGCTTTATCATTTTATTATGTTTTTGTAATTTTTTGCTCTAAAAATTAACGCAAAAGAATCGGGATATTTAGTTTCTGCTGGTAAACGCTTACGAGCTCACAATCCGCACACGTCAACCGAACGCGGCCCTTGCGTTTCCGCATTACTCTAGGAAATCATTCTGCGGATAGATAAGAAAGGACGGACGAAAGGGTAGATTCCATTCTCCGCATATATAGCGCACGGAAAAATGTTTCACGAGAATCAGTCATGCGTAAGACGTTTCGTCCCACACATTTTGCCAGTCCGACACGTACAGACGAACACGTTCACAAGCCATACATACGATCGTACATATACAAATCTTGATGGAGGATCCACCCTCTATGAAACAACGGAGCGAGCTTTGATCGACTCGCTTGGCTTATTTTCTATAAAGAAAATTCCCTTCGGACTAGAAGAAAGTTTGCGCGGGGGAATAGAAATATATATAAAGAAAGAGAAAAGATAGAAGAGAGAGAAAGATAGAGTGAACAAAAAGTGACAATTTGGTCTCCTATACGGAAAAAAGTGACATTTAATATATAATATGAAATTAATAGAGACGAAAACTTTCTAGAGAACGAGAATGCATGTCGTTATATATCGGAGAAATCAAGTAAACATATTATTTTGTGCATGCTATATATTAATACTTAAAATTATTCCTACATATTTTTTTGTGAAAATCTTTTAACTATCTTTGTAAGCTTGGTAATGAGAATGCGAATGAAAATATGCTTGTTTGTTAACACTTACATTAATTACTTTTCAGAAGCAAGAGGTGTTGAGAGATGTGTATGATTTTTTGTAATATTAAATTGCTAATAATTCTTAGCATGAGGAATTCTTAAGATGATTAATAGCAAGAAACCGATTAATTATTAATAGCACTTTCAGCATGCCAGAAATAGCATTTCAGTCTTGAGAGCGGCAAAATCGAGTAGTAAGCAACGCGCGATTCGACGTGTCGCTGTAGAGAATGTAGTGTGTTTAGAATTCGCACATTAGTATTAGACTGGCGCAGCGCGGCGTTTGAATACCTGATAACCGAAAACTGTCCTGCTTTAATTATTCCGTATCGTACATGTATCAGTCGTTATTCGCCTCTCAAGGTTTCTGTGTAATTTTTGTTTCAGGAACGGAATTGGTGCCGAGCTGATCTGTATGAATATAATGTAGCCAATTTCCTTTAACGTTTAATAATAGCCGATTTAACGCAAGATATTTTTATACAATCTATACATATATTAATGTATATACGTATATCTACATATATATATATATATATATACATATTAAATATATAAATATTTGATCCTTATATACATGCATCCGTTACCGATGAAGTTGTGGAAGAGAATATAATTCTATGCTGTTGTGTCTTTACAACTTACGCTATTCTATTTGTTAAGAAAGTAGCAATGGTCAGATTTGTAAAACGTAAAAGGAAGATATCGAAGGTGAAGATACTAAAGATGAAGTGAAACAAAGATCGTAAAAAGCTTGTTGATTTATTCATTAGTACGATGATGCTTTGTCCATTAAATTTTTGTGGATTGAAGAAATATAGTAGAAACACGGATATGCTTCCTCTTTCCTCGATTTATATTTGTTTAACGATCGAAATATGTATTCATATATATCTCGAATGTATATTAACGCGAAATTTTAATGATAGTTTTATAGATCATGTATTTAATTCGTTTGTATAAAATATATGATGGCTTGATGATACTATTATGATATTTATTGTTGCTTGACATGATTCCACATATGGTTTGCACATTATTTATATGTATTTCTTTTATTTTAGCACATCCAGCACGATGTTTCACTAAATAGTGACACACTTCACTGCGTAAAGGCAGACGAGAAACGAGTATTACGAGTATTACGTAATTAATCTATATTGTGTTATATTATTTTTTTAAGTTGATCATATAAAGAAAAACGAAAGGTCTCTATTTTATGTACATTCCATTATATATTCTACGATTTTTCGTTTTGCAGTAGAACTTTGGACGCAGGCAAAACACTCGAAATGTATAATTTTTTAGTGATCCATTAAATACTGAAGCTGAATTGACATGTAAAATGAACGAGAACTTATAGAAAAGACAACGAACATGTCTAATATGAACACATTCATTATAATAATATATAGCATGCAATAATAACAGTCTAGATTATTAAGCAGGCTTTCAGAATTCTTAAGGAATTTTTCTAAAACTCTGCGTGCGAGCAAGAAGAAGAGAAGACGCACGGGGTATGTATGTCTGTGTGTGTGTGTGTGTGTGTGTGTGTGTTATAGGTGCGTTGGTCGCGCGTTAATTAGTTTGCAAGGAGTTTAAAGGCAAGCCTGGAAGGACTTCGTCAGGCTGCTAGGTGGTCCCGAAGCCTCGAGTCATCATTGCCTCATTTACTTCGTAAAACAATCTTGCCGGCAGTTCAATGGGCCTAACTATATCAAACTTGGCACCGCGTAATTAAACTTCGTTGTAAACCGGTCGAAAGGCAACGGGGTTTACGTGGCTAGTCGAATTCTGGTATGCGATATGAGATAATTAACGAATGGTCTACGACTTCAAACCGTGAATCCAATTTATATTTATATTCTACGCTTTATATTTTCTGAAAAATATAGTATATTACTAATTATAGTATAATTAAGACAGACAAATTTAGAATACATGTTGAAATTGGAACACAGTCGACCACTACCATTATAATAAGGTTTAAAAAATTAGCCTAATAATAAATAAATTAATGATAAAAATAATGAAATTGAAATATTCTATGAACAAGATAATTTTGCAAATATATTTATATTTTGCGATAAAAACGTATCGTAGACTGAAAAGGAACGAAACGAAAATAGCGTCATTTTTGCAACGAGGCAAATTGATGCGAAATGCAAAAAGGCTTGCGAGATCGTCTTTTGAGAAATCGCTCCGGATTATTAGGGTACGCCAGATTTTCACCGTACGACCAACGTCGAGGGTTAAGCTGCCGTTTTTACTGATTTTCTTTCTAATCCTTACAAATGTCAGGGTCATCAAGTTTTTTTCCCTAATTCGTATTGCGAACCGACCCGCATACGAGCGTTAATCTTGACAGAGCGGATCGTGGTTTTGTTTAGGGAATGCTTGTTAAACATTGCCGTATTATTAACAAGCGCGATATGGTGTATCCGTCAAGTTGTACGTTAATCCCGTTAAAGCACAACAAACCAAAGCGCACGATATATCGTTAAATTATGTCGATTCTGAAATTATTTTTTCTCGCTGACGCGTACCTTTTTTGTCTCTCGATTGACTAACTCTAAGAGAGAATCAGATCAGTCATCGCGGAGGCACTATAGAGCTGCCATTCACTCTCGACCTCGGCGAGCTTCTTTCTGCGAAGCTGAGAGGGTCGCCCCCGAATTCAGCAGCAGTGCAGTCTGACCGCCGCGATTTCGGAGTCTGCGCGAAACTTGCACGATACACACGAGTGTCACTAATCTCTTTCCTCGAGGACAAAACTATCTCCGTGGCGTAGACAATGGGGAGAATCGCTGACGAGTCAAGCGCAAACCCTTGAAATGACAAATGACAGGATGTATCCTAAATACACCGCTCTGCCGGGGTGTCCTATTTTCTTCGCTTTTCTTCGATATTCGTGTATTTCTCTCAGCAATAGCTCAGTCGCAGCATTTTTACAATAAATATTACGCCTATACGTCCTTATTAAACATTATTTCTTTCTAATTCAATAGACATGTGATGCTAAATCTCGCAGTAAATATGTGATTTTTTATAAATTATTTCAGCTGACGTTAGCTACTAGATTTTATGTGTAAGCGTCACAGATAGCATAAGTAACTTACACGTAAAACACAGCGATAGAAAATATAATCATTTTCACTTTACTGTATTATCAAAGCAGTTGATTCAAGAAGTTACATAAAAAAAAGCTTATATATATTTATGCACGCATATCTCGGCAGTCCATCGTTGTATCATTGTTATGAGCATTGGTATGATTACATAAATACTAAAAACAGCTGTATATGGTAACGGAAAAACTACTCGCCTCCTTATCCTCCTATCGTGCGCCTTCGCTAAGAAATTACCTCGGAGCGAGGTGGAGTCCGCGGAACTAACGCGATAGAAAAAAGTACGAGAACAATAATGAGGCTCCTTTAAATGTACGCGAGCCTTTTGAAGTGGCAAACGGTACTGACTGCGAGAAATAGAAACGTGTTAGCGAGAGGCCGTAATTAAGTCGGGCCCTCAGCGGCATCGGTCGCTGTGTAATTCCTTCCCCCCCCCCTCTCCCCTCTTCATGAGTACGCGATACCTCCCTTTTCATAGACACATCGCGCGCTCTGATCTATCCGAGACGCACCGGCATAATTAATTTATTCGCGTTTGCGGCTCGTTAATTGAATAACCTTGGGCCTTTGCTCAGGATGGTTAACGAGCGCGGAGCCGCGGTAGCCACGAGTATCTCATCAAACGAATCGCGAGGCGCCTGGACGCTCGGATCCCGGAAATCCGTGGCCCCCTATAGCGTATCATTTGTTTCTGCTAAACGAAAACTATTGTACCGGAAGGATTCAAGAGTGAGAGCAAGAATTTATCTTGTAGAATTCGTAAGACGCAGCTTGAGTACCGTGACTCGGTCCTCACAAATCACGGACTTATTCCACTCTTAGTTATTTTGAAACATCAACGTTATGTAAAGTCGAAACATTTTTTTTTCGCTACGATCCCACTCTTATTACTTCTTTCGCTTCAAGAACGTTTTCATTCCCGAGATACTTCTCGCGATCGCGGCATGCACTTTCAGTGAACGTGCAATTTCCTTCCTCCCACCGGCTGCCGTCCTCGTCGTTTCTCCTTGTTCGGGATTCTCGCGGGCATCGATGCATGATCGATTAATTCCCTAACTGATTGTGAGTCCGTATTCATCGCCTCGCTTTAAACCACTCTACTGCTTTTTATTTTTATTTCTTTTTTTATTTTTTTTTCCTACGCGCGCATTGGGCCTCCTCCTTAACTCGGATCGCAGCAAGATGGCCGCGGGCTCCGGTAAATAAGTGACTGTCATCTGACGCCCGCAAAAAGCGGATACACCGCGGCAGACTGGTCTCCGTGCTCCCGTCTTCGTCCTGCCCTCTCACCCTCGCTCTCGATCTCTCCCTTTTCCCTCTTCGTCTGTCCTCTCGCTCTCTGTCCCGCCACCTCTCTCTTTCCTTCTGTCTCTCTCTCTTTCTCTCTTGCTCTCTCTTCCTTACTTTTATTTACCCGTTCGTTTATTCCAGGCATCGTATCTCGCTGAATCTCCCCGTGCCCCTCTCCTTTTCCCTCTTCGACTTCGCGTTCCTCCTTTGCGCGGTCTGAAGATTAATTACAAAAAATCGCCGCGACGCGAATTGGAAACGTCGTTCCACGAACGGCAAACGGCCGAGGGACATGTGGAGGAAGGGCAGGGAGAGATATGTCCACCGATGAACTTTTTGGCCCGCGGAAGGTGGCCCAATAAGCGATCGGACATTTCGGCACCGAAACGGAGATGCGGCCAAGTTCGCCGCGGGGCTTAGTCGATCACCGCGTCGCGCATCGATAACAGCTGTCGAACAGGACCGACGTAATGTATACGAAATGTAAATGACCGCCGTCTTGTTTGTCGCCGAAAATACGGAGGCCCCTTTCGTCCGCCGTCTTTCTCCATCAGACACGCAATTCGCTATCGACATGTTCGAATAAGATGCTCCGAAGACGCTCTTTAAAAATAACACACTCGACCGAGAGAATGAGTTAGAAAAGCGCGGAGAAGGACATCCATTAAAATCTCATTAATGGCTTATGACCCTTCTCATGTTGTTGACTCCTTGAAAACTTGTTTCTCAACTTGTAGTTTCAGGTGTTAATGCCCTCGACATCCGAAATATATCGCTATCTTATCACGCGCGGAATTTTTTGTTTGTCGCGTGTCCCATAATTTCTCGTGGATTCAGGCACGGCGAGAAGCGTGGAATTCCGGCCGATAGAAGCCGGCAAGTCCATCCGCTCGTGTACGAGCGAATCCTTTATTTTTGGGTAATTTCGAGACAGATGACTGGCCGACTTGACGGGCCATTATAATGACATTAGCACTACGTCTACGGCGCGGAAGGAATGGGAATCCTCATAGTTAGCGACTTCTCGTCTTCGTGCTCGGTAGTCCGTTCTATTTCTTCACTTCAAAGTTCACGTTATGCCTATAAAGAATATTGAATGCAAGTGAAACAATATGGTTTGACTTGATATATCGCAGAGAGAGAAAGAGAGAGAGTTACGCAAAGCAACTTGAAAGTCGGTATCGATGGCTTCTGTCGGAGAACCGTAAAAGGAAAATTTCAATACGTTGGAGTAATTGCTCGATTGATTGACGGCTTCCATATGGGGCCACATTTAACAGATCAGTTCATAAAATCCGCTTCGAACGATTAATAAAGATTTATACTTTTCATTACAGTTACTTTCTATTATGCGATTTTCTTCCGGGTAACCGGATTACTACAAGTCTAGATAGAAATTAGAAACGATCGAGAAGTACAGTTAAAAAATTGTGCAAAGCTGATATTTGTCGCCGCGATACATTGAATAAGATAATTTTTTAATTTGCAACATTCGCATGCTTCAATGTTGCTCTGTTAGCTCTACATTAATAAATAAATTCTCTTATTCATTGTAATCTTATTCCAC